TATATATATATATATATATATATATATATATATATATATATATATAAAAGTTAGTACACTCGTCTGCGCAACAGTCCTTCCTGATGCATCGAACAGTTAAGATTGCGAGCTATTTATGAACTTGATAATCGGTTATGACAGAGAAGCCGAAGTGATACGACTATAACGGAAGATTCGGGAAAAATTGAACTTTTAAGAACTGATTTTAAACTGGTTATGTTAAATAATTTAACTTTAAAAACAACAAAATTTCATTTCAAAATCAATTATATATTTTATTATAAAAAAGTAATGAATCGTTACTTTCTTAGTAACGGTAACGATCTACTTTTAAAATGAGTAACAAGTAACAGTAACAAGTTATATTTTACGAAAAGTAACGGTAACACGTTATTTTTTTTTAAGTAACGTTCCTAACTCTATAAATAACTCTAAAATAAAAGTATTTTTATTATAGGTATTGTTATATAGGTAAAAGTATAATAGAGTTATTATTTATCAAAAGTTGAAAAAATTACTTTTGGAAAGTAAAACGTTACCGTTACTAATGAAAAAAAATAATGTTACCAACTTCTTACTGAAAAAAATAACGAAGTTACAAGTAACGCATTATTTCCAACCTTGCTATTTAACACCGCGTATTTGCCATTTGATTCTCTGTCACTTAAAAAGAATGTTTTGCAGTCATAGCGAAAATATTCGAGATATGAGAAATTATAACTAAAATAAATAAATGACTAGCAAGTACCACGATATGTTTATATCATATGTTTATATGTTTTTTACTTAACCGATATGGATGATAGGGACAGAATTTATATATCTAAACTATTTGTAAAATTTAGAAAGTCTCCCTGTGACATCCATGCAGATTAAGACCAGATTAATAATTGGTAACAGGACCTAAATTCGTCTGCAGATATTGCTAGAATGCTGCTACTGATATAAATTCTTCAAACTGTAGACAATTCGTTAGCAGATACAAATAAAATTAATATATAGATTTTAACTGTAACATTTAGAATTCTACATAGACTAGAAAAGTATCTTTTCAGTGATCATAACCGATTATTATGCAAGTTCACGAGTAATAGCTCGCAATCGTTTGGTGTACTCTCAAGTTCATCGGGAAAAAGCGCGTGCAAACCGTTATGCAAGCGAGTATACATTTTGTTTTGCAAAACACGTTTTTTTCATGGGAAGATGATTTTTATATATCTGGTTAAGTTCATATATCAGTATTCACACACTTCCTTCCGTCTAGCGTCGCATTTCGCGCCAAACATAATTCTCTGATCTCGATTTCCCTCAATATGAAGGTCATTGATTTCGACGTAACCGCCGTAGCGATGCGAATACATGGTCACATTTAGTGTTAGATTCGTGTGAACACGAGCCGTGGGCTTCGTGTCGAAGGCGTTTTTTTGCGAAGGGTTTAAGCACGAGAAATCGGGAGACCCGTACGCGAGAATGAATCGAAACAATGCACAGGTACAGTTCCAGATCAAACAAATACCTGAACCATAACGTGCGATCTTACAGAAAGCAAAAAAAAAAAAAAAGAAAAAACACTCACGCTAAATATCTCGAAATTTAATAATGTGCTGTTATATACACTCATTAAATCGAATGCTCGCCGCAACATGAGTGTTTAGACGCGAGATATCAACATGTTGCGCTTCAGCGAGCACCGTATATAAACTAAGGGAAAAAACGCTCGATATAAAATACTTTATCGATTGATAAAAAATACTCAGTTTGCTTTACGCTCGTCAATAATTTCAAACATTCGACAGGTAGGTTAGGTTAACATTCGATCAGGCGTCCGCCTGATGAGAACTCGATTTACCGCGTTCCTTGTAGATTTGTTCTTTTCTCTGAAGGACGGGGGAGAGGGGAGGGGGTGAACTGAAACGTTCACGAAACAATCCACTAAGATCGCGGTGTTAATCCGGAAGTCGAAACGAAAGAAATCCACCTTCTCGAATAATGGACGGCACTGAACTAATAATTCCTATACTGGGCGCAGTCCGTTCGATACGTGATAGCACATGTGACGAGTTAAAAAAAAGAAAGAATATAAAAATAATAAACATTTATAAAACCATCGGCTTACGTTAACCGTGCAGGTGATACCGAAAGAACGCTCGAAATTCTTCATCCTTTAGTCAGCTAGGTTGATCCTCTATTATATGGATCTAACGGAGAAAATCATATCCTTGATTTTAAACGAAAACAATTGTTATTGTAATTCTCATTTAAGCAGCTGAGAGAGTTCTTACCTCAGACAGAATGGCCCAGTTTTCGCTCTCGCTGTGTATAGTCAAACGAAGCACCGATATCCTACCCAATCTTCGATCCACTGTTCCTTCGGCAACGCCAAGTACATCAAACTTACCTATTCATATCGTGCATTTTTATGCGAACTCTCAAATCGATTATATTGTACAGTACAAACGCAGAATCCCTATACTTCTTACCTATAATGACGTAGCCGTCCTCCGTCACGTCGTTACTATTTCTATCTAACAAGAGCGATAAATCGGACAACACTTCTACCGTCGTGTTGTAGAATCTGTCAGACGGATGCTCGGCATTTCCGCTCCTGAATAAGTACCTGCACACGCGAATCAGAGGGTTAAAGTTCCTGTGTCCTCGCCATGACCATCTTAACTTGAAGCGAAAAATATACGCACGCTCTAAACATTTGTGTAATAAAAAAAATATATCCATAAAATGATATTTTCAGTTGATCGAGCAGATGTACAAAATAATTAAAACACTTTTCTTTTGTTTTAATAATCAATAAATAATTGTAAGATTAACAAAATCACGAAAGGCAGATTGTATGTCACATTAATTTTACGGTAATTTATTGATTGTTAGAGCAAAAAAGGAAAGTGTTCGGACTATTTTGATGTGTTTGACCGATTGCAAGTGTCATTTTGTAAGTATATCTTTTTATTTCAATATATTTTGTAAGAATTTTTATCGTGTTTTTTTTGTCTCTGACATCAACAATCAACAGTTCTGCGACGAGCCTTAGTAGCAATTTTCTTCGTGTTCGAAATAAGGTGATTAATAGTTGTGACTTACTTCTTTATAAAAATAGGATGCGAAAATTTAAATTTCAAGTGATCTCCCGGCTGTGGCAACAAGCCCCAGAAGAACGACTCGCCTTTGTACGCTTTTTGCAGCGTATACTGCTTGTAAGGCTTGATCTGAGTTTCCACGGTCGCCTCGGGATTCTCGTGAGCGTAGAACAGCGTTATTTTACCGAATTGTTTGTCCTGAACGTAAAGTTTACAGTCAGCGTACACAATTCTACCTCATTTTAACTTCAGTGAGCGATATTACCTTGAGTTTTTGCACTTTCCCTTTCAACGAGGAATGCGTGCCTATATGTTGAAAGAGAGAAGGTTTATAATGTACCCACAACTCTGCTTTAGCTATCTTGCAGTGCTTCTGGAAGAGAAAGGGGATTTCTTTGCAAGACTGGAATACATTATTAAGTATCTGGCTGACCTATACTTACGCTGTCTTTATCGAGACTGCAGACTTTGGTAGATATTAAGTGATCCAAGAGCCAGTCAACGGGCTTGTCATTGTGAAACATTAAAAAGAATTGGACCAGCCATGGCAGTTCCACGCACTTAAATAGTTTTCCTGTTTCACACAATAATCATGATTTTTAAATATTTATAAATATACATATATCATATATGTGTATATATATATATATATATATATATATATATATATATATATATATATATATATATAT